TGAGTGCCCCACCATGATCCCTAATCAGGCCCCCTCCTCCAGCAGCTCCGGTATGTCTGTCGAAAGCGCCATCAGTGTTTAGCTTAACCCAAGGGGCCTTGGGTTTCAACCCATAGATGAACTTGATAAATTGTCACAACTCAATTCATTTATGCAAATGAACGAGTTGAACCGAGCTGTGTTCGCGACCAGCTCTATTCGTGTGTAATGACTACTAGTATTAGAGCAGAATTCTTTTTTTATTTTTTTTTTTTGCCTAAATTGTTAATGGTTAGTTATTTTACATGTCTACTACATTTTTTTTTCAAAATTTTGTAATAATATGTCGTATAAAATAACATTATACTGTATACATCAAATATACTATTTTAAATTTTTACTACATTTTTTTTAAAAAAAAAGTTTGTAATAGTATGTCGTTTAAAATAAAATTATACATAAAATATTTATAAAAAATTATAAATAAAAAATATTATAATTTAGAAACCAATGACATAAATACACTATAAATTAATAATTAGTAAAATACTAAGTATATTTTCAATTAAAAAGATCTTGGTAAATATACGAACAAAATAGGGTTTAATTTAATTTTCTATAAGTTCAATGATTGACCATGGGTTACTTGACAGGCTAATTTACCTACATACTTTAGTGATTGCTAAAATATTGCATAAATATATTAAAACTTATTTGCAATTCTACCTAACTTAACATAAATTAACTGATCACTAACCAAAAGATTTTACCTTGTGAAGTATATCATAATTGATGAGATCTACTCCTTAATTTTATTTTTTTTAATTAAAAAAAGTCCTCTCTCTACCTAAACCTCCCTAAAACTCTCAAATGATTTTTTTTATTATTATGAAAAAATCAAGAAAATAAAAGGAGAACTAAAAGCAGATTTTATATGGACATGAGAATGCAAGAGGAGAACTACAACGCATTATATATAAAAGATATATTGAATGTAAATCAATCTGGTCATTTCTTCATCTTTCTTTTTTTTTCGGATTATATACAGATATACAAAAGATAAACCATTATAGTCATTATATATAGAAGATATACAAATGATATACTGAAAACACATTATATCAATCAAATAGTTTTGGGTTTGACCACAACACCAGATCCAGACGTCGTTTTCTTTGTTGTGGCGACCTTCTTAACATTCAACTCCTCCTTGGTCGGCCCGCCTATTGCCATTTCCTCGATGTACTGCCTGATTGTTTCAAACAAAAAGGGCTTCGCCTAGGAGATAAACGTCTCTTTCAATCTCTTACCGAACGGCTCGTCGTCTTTTATTGTGATTCGAATCTCAGCATCCTCGTCGGCGTACTCGTCGGAAATATAAAAGGCACCTCAACAGTGGACAAAACAATTGAGTTCCGGTCGAGATTTTTTGCCATAACATCCTAGGAGAGGACAAGTTCAACTTGTAGCCGGGTATTATTTTCCCCTTGCAGATGTTGACGTAAGCCTCTCACCCTTTAGAGCATCTCCAATGGTAAGTTTTCTATTTTGAGTTGCATAGCATGGAGAAAAGAGATTAAAAAATTATGTATCCAATGGATTATGTTTAAGATAACTTATTATGACATGTGTAAATTTATAATTGGTTGAAAAAAAATTAAAAAAATTGAATATGTAATATAATATATAATAGAAGTTGTCTAGAAGTACTTCTACATCTAGAAAGACTTCTAGAATTTTTTTAGGCCACATAAGATTTTTTGTGCCATGTGGCAACAAGATAAGACAATCCAAAGGCCATTGGAGATGCTCTTAGATCCGAGAAAGAAAGAGATAGAAGCAAAAAGTGTTGGGTAGTTGTAAATGATATTCCACATCCTCAAAATATACAACGTTTACCTCATAAAAGTAAAACAACCACTTACCTTTAAAAGAAAATGAAAAAAATGAAATATAAAATTGCATATTTCTTGTAGGAGTGCAATTAATTTGTTTAGATGTTTTATATCTGCTAACAAAAAATTAGTGTCATATATTTGGAAATGTTTTGGGAAGATCTCGGCTTGGGAGTAAATTTTTCTGGGCCGATAATATGAACTCATTATTTGGGCCGATATCTGCGCCTAAATTGTGATTTGAGCAAAAGTGGGACGCTTCATTATAATACGGGCTTATCATTTGGGCAATATTCAGCAAACAAAAATTAAAGGGAAATTTTTATATATACTTACCGTTTTTTAAGTAATTGCAACATTACTATTCAAACCAATAAATTTGTGTAATATACCTAAAAGATAAATATAATTATATACATGCCTAAAAACAGTTACGGGTAAGATGAACAATCATTCCATATTTGTAGCTCATAATTTCAGGATTTCAATATGGAAAAGATATTATATTTGAATTTGAATGCATTATCATCGTTGAAACAGGCAGAAAAAAGAAGGGAAACACGTCGGCGACGAGATTTTTCAAAAACACAGTTGTGTATTGTTTTTTTGTGACATATAATTACAGTTGGGTAGTATATTTTTAGTAAAAGTTGAGTATATCTTCTCCAAATTATTTTTTTCCCACATAAATATAATATCTTCCCAGCAATTAGTATATTTTTAGTAATAGTTGGGTATTGTTTTCTATGACATATAATATATTCTCCAGCGGTATTTATTTATTTATTTTTTGAAATATAATATCTTCTCCAGCTAGTAGTATGTTCAGTATTTTTCTGAGGATCGCGTGCGATTTTGGTTTTCGCCATTGACGGAGGAAGTTTTTTTTCCTTCTGAAAGAGATTTTGGTTTTTCGAGGATCGCATGAGAGGAGGAACGTGTGCAGCAGTTTTTCTTTTGAGGATTTAATTTGCCCGTAACGTACGTAAAATATCCTTAATTATCTGATATAACTGCAAAATTATAACTTTAGGTATATTAGCAATATTTTATGCTTAGTATGGTAATTACATAAATATTTAACTAATGGTTGTAAATTTATAATATATTAAGAAAGCTGAAGTACGAATGCAATTTCCTCAAAATTATAAATTAATAATACATAGGCCTTATCTTATTCATCTTTGGGCCTTGAATCATTTCCACATAGTCACGTCCACAAATGTGATGCGTAAATAAGACGTGAAAATATTAATTTGCGCAAGTGTATACAATTATCTTATTTTTTTGTATCATTTTTATGCTTTGAAAATTATATTTTTCGGATTGTAAATCAAGTGGTTGATAAGATAACATCAAACTCGGATCTTAAATCAGTTGAAACTATGACAATGGACTTGGATGTGGAGCTTAATTTTTACCAATTCCTCTTCCATGAAAAGTTGCCGACCCTTTCCTTGATTGAGCGTGAACAAGAAAAAGACGGTTATTAGTCTCGACTTCCACCAATTGAACGTCTAAATGTCTATTATAATGTCTAACAACTATGACAATTAAGTAGATGCAGTTGAGAGAGAATAATTTAACATGGTCAGGTATCTTTTCGAAAAGGAATCATGAGCTTGAAAACATATGCTTAATATTTAGAAGAATTGTCTCATTTCGGTCGCACTGTTGGACACGCCATACCACCGCGTTTCCTTTTCGGGTGCAACGTGACGAGAACAACCAATCTGCCCTTATGATCCTCGCCATCGATTTTCGTTCCAACACATTTTAGAAGTTCACCATCAAATCAAAGCAGAAACATCAATTACGCTAATGATGCCACGCTCACCGTCTCCATTATTGTATCATTCTTGAGGTGAGTTCGTGGAGTTATTATTACGTATATGTTTATTATCAGAAATCTTTATTAATTATTATTAATGTTAAAAATTAGAGTGCGGTGATATTATGACTTAATCATTAATCTTATTATTGATAATCATTGCTAATATATTGATTTGCAAAAGAAATTGCAAGTGCCTAAGAGAAATTCATTGTTGAGAGAGGAGCAGACGAATGTCAGCTTGCCTAGCATTATGATTGTAGAGTTGATTTGACTGATATCTTATTCAACAGTTGTTAAATGTTCTGTGAATTCAAAAACTATTGAGTGTTCCGTGATTTCATTGTTTTAGTTTGTTTAATTGTTTATTATAAAAAAAATTCATTAATCATTATTACTGTTAAAAATTTGAGTGAGATGTTATTTTGCTAGTGTATTCTAGAATAGTCTGTATATGAATAAAATTCGAAACATAAACGAAATTTGGAAAAGAAAAAAATTAAAATAGTATCATAAATTTAAGTTGACATTTAAAAAAAATGATAAATAAATAGATTTGGACTCAATTGACATTTAATAAGTTAATATATCATTTAAGTTGAAGATTTTTTTTTATTAAAATTGATATTTTTAACTTATAAATGTCAATAAGTTTCCCACGTACCCTTATATTAGAAATCAAAGTCCACATAGTTCTCTTACTCTACTTACCTTGACTGGTTGGCTCTAAATTCTAGTAAGATCAAGTATAGATATAGTATTGGCACTAGCATTATCAAACAAAATGGAAAACACTTTTTACCAATTTTATATTTATCCAAGACCTTTGAAATTGAACGACCAATATTAGAAGCAGTGTGTCGTTCAAGAAATCCACCGTAACCTATTAAACGTTTTTGTAAGTTCCAACTACATCTATCTAATGACAAGTAATTCCTAGATAGTAGTTATTTTGTCAATAATCAGACCAAATAGCAGCACAAATAGATACTCTAAGGTTTAAAGATTCAAAAGTTTGTTGCAAAATTAATCTTTTTTTCACCCATAATTTTTCGAATATCGTGAGTAAGAGTAGAATTAATGTAGAAACCCGTGGGTAGTTGGATTCAAAACCATTGAACTAAATTTTTATACAAATCACTCTCAGCACTAAGGGAAGAGATGAAGTAAAAATAAATTCGGCTAAATGACATCTATGATTATCAGGCGAGTATGAAATAAAGAAGGCGTACCTAAACCAGTCGTGGCGGATGCAACGTTGCTACTCAGTAGTTGCGTTTGTGCCGTGTCAATCTCCAATTTTTTCGGATGACAATTCTTTATGTGTCGGTTCAACGTTTTGTGCCCATCGCATCTTTGAAAGAGTACATCTCCTTGGAGTTGTTCGGACAGTAGTTGCAATCAGCAAAAAAGTGATTCTCACCTTTTTCTGTATTGGGCACCTTCGAATGTCATATCTCGACATTTTCTGTATTGGGCACCTGCGTCTGCTGCTGAGGTTCCGGAGTCACCTGACCTCCTAATATATCATCCAAATCGTCGTGATATGGCTGTTGTTGCCCTTGCTGGTACTCCTCGTGTACGGCCTCTTGGATCTTTTCAATGAACTCAAATATGCGCTCGATCGTCGCGTCATCAATATCATAGTCTACACCGGGAAAATTCACATTTATTGTTGGCCTCACCATTGTCAACAATGGAGGTCTCGAAGAAAGATGCGCCGCTATTTTTACGCTTTTATCTGGAGCCCGAGCCACGACCACCACGTGAGCTCGTCATTTTGTAATTTCAAGAATAATTTATAAAATAAAAAACAGAGATTTGAAAAATGATATAAATGGTAGTAAATTTATAGAACTGAAAACTAAATTATTGAGAGTATATAAACTAAGAAATTTGGAACCGAAATTATGGGTGAATCGACTGATTTCCTTGCAAACCGAGCATAAAAACTCAAAATTGAACACTTAAATAATGTAGAATTGAGGGAGAAGAGAGATTGTTAGCAAGATGGGATGAAAGAAATGAGTTGGGTTGAGGAGTATTTGTATGTATTTTTTTGGGATTTTTTTTTCCATTCTTTTTCCCAGGTAGAGACCCGCCGATCCTCGGGTCACCAGGCAGGTCAGACGTGGTGAAATAGATTTCACCCGAGCTCCTCCAACTCGAAAGGCCTTCGTGCCTTCAATAACTCAACGCCGGGAGGGGTCTCGGCGTCGGGCCTCTGATACCTAAGTCAATATCACTCCAATCTCAAGTATCAAGAGTATAATTATCCATGTAGAGAGAGTGAGGTTTTGAGATATCTTAGCCCCTTTTATAGGGGAAGTGTACCTTAGGGCCGAAGTTGAGTTTGGTCAATATCATTATACCACGTGTCCTAGTCCATGTGTAGACTTATTCTCCAATATATCCTCTTTTATCCATTAAAACGGGTCTAGTATAATATCCCATATAAAGATGGGTGATGACCGTTGGATCGAAACGGTCTACATGATCCAACGACTGCGTGCAAAAATATACCAATTTGGCCGACCCAGAACCGGGACCTGTCTAAAAAAACCGTTGGATATATCCAACAGTCACATTGATCCGACGACCTAGATTTAATTTAACCATCTCGAATCCCAACGGTCGGAACAACAAAAAAAAAATATAAAAAAAGGGGGAAACCCAGACCTTTTTTTGGCCCAAAACGACGGGTTGGAAAAAAAAAATTAAAACCCAGAACTGAGTCGTCAGTGGTAAGGGTCTGGTTGCCGGACACGTAGGTCCGAGCTGGGTCGACTAGCTCCGGGTCAGTTTGTTGGTCCGGATCGACCTTGGTCACCTCTAGTTTCACCTTTCATAACACACTCACTCAAGATACTCCCAAAACTCATGCTACGTGCTAGAATAGTTTACAAATTGAATTATTAAAAGTAAATCTGAGAAGCATCCATTACTTTTATTATTACGTAAGTCTCAACAATCAAGAATTTATCAATACATGATTAACTCGACTTACTATCAAGAATTTATCAATCAAGAAGAGATAGTAAATCTAAGAGTTATTACGTAAGTCTCAACAATCAAGAATTTATCAATCAAGAAGAGATAGTAAATCTAAGAGTTATACTAAAAAACGGTTCTAGTGCGGAAATTATAAGCCATATGTAATGCTACATTTAATTAATTAATTGTGTATAGGGCTAAGCGAATACTACTACACGTTCTTTTAACTATTCCCTAAATTATAAATCCCTTCCCTCCTATATATAATTCCCGAATGCGCTGAGCCTACGTGGCTGCTTCTGGTGGCTGCTTCTGGTGCTTCGGAATTCTACTTGGCGAAGAATCATTGTTCGTAATTATGTTTAGACAAATAATATTGATATATTAATAATTAATAATCTAGGTTCGGACATTCCATAAATATTATTTAGGTAAGTTAGGTATTTTAATATCAATTGTACTAATATAACCCTTTAATTCTTTGTAATTTCACTATATATCCTGACTTTTGATTATGTTTCCTTCAATTAGCTATTGAATTATAAAAATATTTTAAAAGTTGATAACTTTTCTATTTCTTATCCGTTTTACATATATAATATATCAAATTAATTATCTTTTCATGATCTTCGATTTGAAATCCATATTGTATATATAAAATAAATAAATTATATTTATCTTTATAATAATAAAAATAATAATATTTATTAAAATTTATTAGAAAAATAAAATTATTTTTCAGTTGATATATTTATGTTTAATGTAGTTATATGTTGTAAGTTAAAACAATTATTATAATATAAGAAAAGTAAGTCACACAAATAAAAAGTGTCATACTAGATATATAATAATATATATTTTAATAAAATATATTTAAATTTTCAACTACTTTTTATCATTAATTTTATATTTTAAGGAAAATATTAACAAGCACACGGACATTGTAGTAGTAATAATAATAAGACTAAATTCACAGGCCTATATATATGATGTTATAAGAAGCTACCAAATATCTATATACGTCCCTAGGGTTAGGTTAAAATAAAAATTATGTTTGGTGTGAAAACCGTGAGAATCATATTTGATGCTGTTTTTAATTGTGTATGATTCTATTTTTAATATTGCATTGTGCTATTATTTCCACAAATGCTAATAAAAATTTTATTGCTATTTTTAATAAAATACACCCTAGTTAAAAATAGCACTAAAATACAATCATCATACTACATACAATTAAAAATAGCAGTTCTCACGCTAGGATTTGGTTCTCATTTGAACCACATCCTACGTCCCTATATCACCTAATTGTCACCATAAGAAATTTCACAAAAATCTTGCTGATAAGAGTTTGCATAATTAGCCCATTTGTAAAGCAAGATTCCCATATTAGGAGGTAGTTAGCGTGGCCAAATCAAATCCGACCTAAAGATAGGAGTAAGGATTAAACATGTCAATCAGGTTTAAGAAGCTATTATATATGTAAATCAAAACCATTAGCACCTCTATTAAGTGTTTGGACATGACCATTAATATGCCTTTATCAATGTGGGGTTAAGCTAAATAGCTGGCTAATCGAATCCTCTGCAGTGACTAATCTGTATTTGGGCACAAAATGTCCATTTTATTGATGATGTAAGTTGGCTACCGGGCCAGGTCGAACCACTAATCAATAGTCCGATCACGTTGATTCGGGCTCTATACCCGAATTGAAATTGGGATCTGTGTAATGCAGGAGCCTATTATGGCTTCCAAGAAAAAAAAAAAAAAAAATGACCCAACTAGCCGGACTTGTTCGGCGTAACACGAGGGTTTTATAATTCGAGTTTAAATTTTGAGATTAAAATTTTAAAATGGTTGTGGGTCCAGCGGATATTTTATTTTATTTTTATTTTTATTTTTATTTTTTATCTAGGACGCTGGAAGTTTAACCACCGAGGATTGGGTCTAGTCGATGGGTTAGCGAGCTAGATCCCGAATTTGCGAGTTGGTATTTAGGTTTTTATTTTGAAAGATGGTGGATCTGTCGGGCCTGACCTAAATCGATAGGTCTGAATTAGAATTGTTACGGCCAAACGTTCAAGTTGATTCCGATTGAAGGGTTTATGTTAGTGATTTTGTGAATATTGTATTTTTAGTATAGATAGATTTGAGATTTGGTGTAGATTGTTTTAGGACTTCCTTTGTATCTTTATATTCGACTCTTGTAAATCTCGGTAAAACAAGGATTTTTGGGGAAAACAAATTGATTTTCACGTACTCTGTCATGGTATCAAAGTTTGGTTAATTTTCTTCTCTCGGATCTCAAGTCTCGATCAACTGAGACTCATTTGTTTTCTCTCTTGGTGTTGTTCTCTCTGATTTTTTTTTTTTTCTTTCAAACTCAATTTCCTTGAGTGGCGTGAGTGTTCAACGCA